TGGCGCCGGCGCAGGCCCGACACGAACGGGCGCCCGTTTTCTGGTGTGCCTCTCTCTGTTCTGTTTCTGTGTGCCTGAACAGTAGCCGTAGCTGTCTGTCTCCCCGCTGTGTGCCCGGTGTGCGCTGGGAAGGTTGCACTTCATAGAGTAGACTTTGAGTTGTATTTTTGCTCTACTAGTGCTGTCTCTACTGTACTACTATAAACTATCAAGTGCCCGAGTCAGACACTTCTTTCTCTTCATGTTCACACAAAATCTTCTTTCGCTATCTTACACTTTTCTTTCGTAATCTCCTGTTTGCGCTTGGTCGATGGGTGTTTTTGGGTATGAGTTGGGCTTCCGAATGCTCTCAGTAATTCTCCGCCTCTCTGACTCTCTCTACACTTCCTCTTGAATTTTTTCCATTTCAGACTTTCTGGGAAATTTAATTCCACGTTCCAGTGAATCCTTTGTGTAATATCTTTGGCCATCCCTTAGATTGTGTGAATTATTTCTCTCATTTGCTATCAGAATGCCTTACTTAGACTTTTTCTCCTTTCCGACTTGTATATATATCCAATTACTTTTGGTTCAGCTTGTCATTCTGTTTCTGTTTCAGTAGTTATCTGACCGATAAAATGGTGCCCTAAATTCACCAACGCCGCGTGAAATAATATTTTTAAAACGCAAATGCTTCTGTAGACGTATCAGTAATATAACTCTTGTATATATTCTGTATTCAATGAATAATTGCATTGGTGATAATGTACATATCAGGAATGAAAAAGTAAAGAAATGTATCAAGAATAGTAATGTGCACTTCATGGCTTATAGTAAGTAGGTAAAAGTGCTGCACTTAGTAGTGTAAAGAGTAGCCTTAGCCTTTGCTTCTAGTTGAAGACGTGCGTCTGCACCAGTAGCGTTGGAAGTACACTGGCGCGCGTCGGCTTGCAGTGGTGCGGGCGGGGGCTCCGTGCGCCACCGCCCCCACCCACGCACTCGGCGCCCTCGGCTGCCAGGGCAGTCGCGCTTTGGGCGAAAGAGTTACACACAATAAACTAAATATTGTTCGGACTATTCAAGATACCAGACTCCTTCCGGATTCTAAAGAAAGTTCTCTGAAACAGTAATTTCTTCGTTTCTAATCGTTTTGGAAATGTAGAAACGCTCTGAAACGTAGCGGAACGTAGATGAAATACAAGTATTTTCTTATCGCTGGAATAGAATGAACAGTTTCAATTTTTATACACTATTACGGTGAACATTATCGCGATTGTAAAAATTATGGAGGTCTGTAAATTTGTATTTCAGTACTCGTGTAGTTTATAATTTATTATGTATTCATTATGAGATGCCAAACCAATAGTATATATTAAGTTAGTTAAATAAGTATGTTATTCTTGAGCAGCCAAAAGTAGTTTACGGGCAATGACAATGGGATCTGGTTGGCCTGGAGACGGTGAGTTTTGAGGATTATTATCGACGTTTTCGTAGTCATCTGGGGTGGTCAACATTGGTCCGTTTGAGATTGGATATGTCTTTACATGAGGAAAAGTAAAGCAATTTGCATACCAAATCGGCCATGACACATAGGTCCTACTCTAAACCATTATGAAGTCAAATGAATTTCACATTCAAAAAGATCACAAGCTTGATAACGGCTAATTGACAAGAATTGCTATTTTTATTTTGCAGTATATTGCCTCCCCGTTAGCGTGCAAACATATTATATAACTCATTAAATATCTACAACTAATTTATGAAAATTCAGATTTTTAAAGTGGATAAATGCTCTTCTGTTAATTATTTATTATTTTATATAATTTTTTTTTAAATATACATAAGATACTTCCGAAAAGTATTTTGATGATTAATTTGACTGACATTTGAATTCTTACAAGGAGAAACAATTCAATTGCGGGCACATTCAATTGGATTTTGATCTTAGTGTCAGGCCGTCGTTGATATTTGATTGAGCTTCACGTTCCGCATGTAAAGTCGTATCCAGATAGATTTTTTTAAGCACTACGTGTACGAAACTTTGGATATACCTCAACATATGGCAATGGCTTGGCAATGAAGTCTGTCAGAGAGACTGCAATAATGGCGAGAGATTTTTCATAGCGGAAACGGCTGCCGTTGCGTCGTGAGCTGCTGAAATACTGAAAAGATCAAATGTCAAAGTTCCTGTTATCTTTATTAATAAATATTAAATTATTATTAAAAATTATAAAATCGGATTTAATATTATGTTTCACATTTTAAAATTGTATCTCATCTACTAGTCATTATTGTGAAGGCCATTATTAATTAATTAACAATAGGTTGTAACAATAAAATTTATTATTGTAACTATTATAAATACTATTAAAAATTGTAAATATTATTATAACAACAAATATATTTATTTGACTCTTATAAAAGTGCCTACGAATCTTTGACGCTGTATTTAAAGACATAAAAGATTCAAAAAGAACCTTACCACCTCGGTTACGCACAACCAGAAGTGTAGCTTTCATTGTTCGTCTGTCAGGGCATACTAATGACCGTAGAGAGAGACGAGAGGTTCAGTCTTGAATACTCCGGCATGGCCACAACGCTATCAATGTGACCCAGCACCCAGAAATCTCCAGGCCGCCCGACCCTTCGAGAGTCTGTGCGCGGAAGCCCATGGGCCGCAACGTGCTTGCTTGCGCGCGCTGCACGCCAGGCGCGGCCCGCCTCGGAAGCTCCGGGCACGGATGCATCGCGTAGAAAAGTCTCGTAATGCGAAAAGGGCGGGCCCCCTCCGCGGGAGCTGGGAAGCAATCGGGATCGACGTGCATCAACTGCCACCGCTACGGAACGTGTGGTGACACCGCGTGAAACGACAGAGGAGAACAGGGTGGGCAGCTCGGGGGCAAACGAGGCATGCTTTTTTCTTCGCGGTCCGTCCACGCGCGCGAGGGCGAGCGAGGGCGGGGCGAGAGCGTGGCGGCTGAGGCGCGCGCTCCGTCGCAGGGACGCCGTCGCCGCGCAAGAAGCGCAACAACTCCACGCCCACCAAGAAGAGCCTGGCGGAGAAGAACCAGATCCTGAAGCAGCTGGTGACGCCGTCGGCCAACCCCCAGCGGCCGCGCAAGGTGAGCCTGGGCGAGCTCATCCAGCTGAGCGAGCGCAAGCTGAAGGAGGCCGGCGCGGCCGCGGACGCCGCCGCCGCAGGCGCCGACCGAGAGACCACCTTCAGCAGCGCGTCTGCGCCGCCCGTCGCCTCCTGCTCGCTGCCCGCCTCCGCGCTCCTGCTCGCGCCCAGGTAACGCCTCTTCACTTCTGTTTGTTCACGCGTTTCCAGGAAAGAGTCTCCGCACACTGGGAGAGGGGGCTCAGGGCATCAGCTGATGTTACTGCGGTGCCTTTGACCGGGAGGTTCTAGAGTTCCACTCCCGACGGTGGCAGGGTTTTCAACTGACTTGTCAGCTAGGTCAAATTCAATCGCTGTCCGGAGGATAATTCTAGTAGCCGACTGCTCTGATCAATATTTCTCCGTTCTTTCCTCAATCCACACCAGGCGATCTTTCCTTTATTTTCTTTGGCCTATCATCACCCCTTGCTCGGCTGGGGCGGAGTCCCGCTGATGGCAGATACCTGGTTGAGGAGAACAGCGCTAGCTGACGGTGTGTAGGCGCCGAATGTTGCCATCCAACGGGAGAAGACGACCGCCACATCCCGGCCGATAAAACATGCACTACACTTGCGAGACTAATGATCGTGACGCGCCCGAAATCACTTACAATCAACCAACCGATCCGAATCAGAATCTGCCGCTGCGTCCGCTTCCGCCCTCAGCTTCGCCTCCTTGCGCTGCGCTAGTGCAGCTTGCGTGCTGTTAAATCGCTCCCTCACCCCCACTGTTTCTGCACCCCCCTTCGGGCCGTCCCAGCACTGCCTGGTGTTCGTGATGCCAACATATTTTCTTTCGCTAGCTCCCTCACCAGCGTGGTGACACTGCGGAGACACTCTCCTGTCGCAATGAACTACAACACACACATTGCCCTGTAACCACACCTTCATTATTTAAAACAGAAGCTTATGCAACTAGTTATAATGTTTAACTTTGTTGCATGAGTACATGGTTTGAAAACGATGTTAGAAGCGAGCTTTCAATTATGAACGAATGCAATTAAGCAACATTATAAACGAGAGACGTACGCTATTTTTTTTGTATTACAGCATTATAAATTTATAATAGAATTAAAGTTAATTTTGGGAAACAGCTTTATTGTGACGTCACATCTGTGCGAAAAAACGATGGTCGGCTGTTTATCGCTACCCACATCTCCACCCCGATTCTCTCGTTACGATTGGCTGAACGTGCTATGACGCAATTTTTCGTGCCATGAATGGCAAATGCACGTCATAATTTGCGCCGAAAAGCTTTTATGAATGATTTTCTGAACCAAAAAAGATCGTTTATAATGCTGGAATACAAAAAATAGAACATTTTAATGATATTTGTCTAAATTATTGTAACTTGTATTTCTTTCTTTAAAAGTTTGTGTAATGTCTTTCAACCATGTATGATGGGGTCTATCTCTCTTTCTTCTTTCGGGTGGAATCATTCTAAAATGTTCTTGCTTAACCTTTCTACTTTCATTATTGTTTCAGATATTCATACCCTTACGGTTGTTTACATTTTATGAAATCTAAAATTGTATGTTTCTTGTTTGTTTTCTGACGTACTTACCATTGCTAAATATCACTGGCGCAACCAGGATTTTTCTAGATGTGATGTCCACCCAACTTGATGTTTTCTTATAATAAAATATTTTGCAACTATTTCATAATATAAAGCATTATTGCATTAGGTTTATGTATTATCAACTCACAGCGTTAGAAGTGATCGTTTAAATTTGTAAGAATGCTACAAAGCAACATTATAAAATAGTTGCATTTGATATTTTTAGTACTCAGGCTTGTATATTTAAAAAAAGAATGGAAGTTAATTTTGGAAAAGAACATAAGTTAGGTTTATAGTTGGCAAATGATCATTGTTAAGGCATGCAATTTGAAATTTGTGCGATGAACGGTGGTCTGGTTTGCCCCTCTCCCAACATAACGAACCCGGCAATACCCTGGTCTCCCTTTATTATGTCATTTCCTCTCACTTCTTTCCCCAAATCTCCCAGATTCCCTCAGTCGTATCTTTCAAAATCGGGAAACAAAATTCTCTCCACAATATACTAAAGCGGAAACTACCGCGACAGTCATCCCAATCCCTTTCGGCAAGTCTCGTAGGTGTGTAAAGCGAGTGGCGCGCCGGCGCAGGGCCAGCCTGGACGGCAAGCTGGAGAAGAAGGTGACGTTCGCGCGCCTGCTGAGCAAGGTGTCGGCGGAGATGAGCTCGGGGTCGGAGGCAGAGCTGGGGCTGACGCGCCACGCGCAGCTGTCGGGGCTGCCCCGCTCCGCCAGCACGCCGCCCTCGCCCGCCGCGGACCAGCGCTCGCCGCACTCCACCAGGTGCCACGCCCACGCGACGCGTGCTCTCCTCTACACACCCGCCCCTCAACACACACGTCCCTCTACACACACGTCCCTACACACTCGCTCCTGAACACACACGGCTCTCTACACTCACGTCTCCCTACATACCTGATCCTCTATAAACCCATCCCTCTACACACATGTTCCTCGACAAACACTTCGCCCTATACAAACGCCTCTCTGCACAAACGTCCCTCTACACACGCACAAACACACAAACACACACACAAACACACACACAACACACACACACTTCCTCCTATACACACGCACCTCAACATAAAGACACGCCCTAACATACACCGTCCCCCTATTAACACACGCCCCTGTACACACACGTTCCTCAACACATTTATCCCTTAAAATTATTATGAATGGTCTTTGACGTAACTTTTCAAGAGTTTGCGATAGTTTTTGAGAACCATGTTCAGAAACTAGTTGTAAAATGTATGCAATAATCAATTGGCATGTATATTCATTTATTACATAACTTTTGCCTCATGTGATCTCAAATTTGCAAACTGAGTAATATTGTAATTTGCTGTATAAGAAGCGTTTGAAAATTACATCTTTGATGAAATGAAAATAGTCATTGTAAGCTCCTGGCGATTTTCGACGCGATTTGATAACATTTTACTAAAATCTGTAAATTTGAATTAAAACCTCTACCTTATGGGCAATTTCTCAAATTTCCTCAAAGACAATAAGAATGCTAAATCAAAACGGTTCCCGAATCTTTGAAGTCCTTCATATTTAACCACATTATTGCAATAAATTAAATTTAAAAAAGATAAGCTGTGATCTCTGTAATTTTATACAAAGACTGAACGCAGAGCACCAGAGAACAGACTACAGCAGAGAAATCTTCTTATGTTAAAAGCATCTTCAACAATTTCAAAGGACTTGAGGACTGAAAGGACTCGGAGTCTTTATGTTTCGATCTCAAGCGCTTTGTTGAGTTTTGATGTATTTCCGTAGAAATTGAAGATATTATTTCCAAAGTCACATATCTCCACAAAACAATATTTTTCTGAAAGGGATATTATTCATATTGAGCATTGTCGTTAACTACAAGATTGAACGGTTTTTGAGTCCCATTTGACATAGGAGAAACGCAATTTTGAACAATATTTATCACCATCTTGTTAAGAGTACATTGATCGGCAAAATTAACGGAGGCGGTGTGTTTGTAAGCGACGGCGGGCGTGAGCGGGGTGTGTGGTCCCGCAGCAGCAACCAGGGCAGCGACTCGCTGAGCAGCCTGGACGTGACGTCGGCGGCGGGGGCGGCGGCGGCGGCGGCAGCCATGAACGACCTGCTGGCGGCGCGACGGCCCTCGCGCCTGCTGCACGGGGCGCGCCCGCCCAAGAACCCCAGCGCCGACTCCATCCTCGCCATGTTCCGCACCTTCAGCGCCGCGGGCGCCGACCCGCGCCTCTCGCCCTCCACCACGCCCACCGCCTCCAGCCCGCAGGTGCGTGCGTTTGTGGTAGAGGATAGGGCAAGGAAGTAGCCGGGGTGCTGATCTGGCTAACTGAAAGAGTTTGTTTTATCGACAGGTTCACAGAAAAATGCAAAAATTAGGGTTCACACTATCCGATCCCTTCAATTTACACAGTGTCCAAAACGTTTGCAAGTGAACACAAGATAACCGAACCCGTACTCGAATTTATAACAGGTGTCCCCAAGAAAACGTAAACAACTCATCTTGAAATCACATCAGGTGTCAAAAAAGAACGTGAATGTGACGTTACATGAATCGCACCGAAAAACTATCTGAGTGTAAAAAGCGTACGTTCTCAAACTGAAACATTCTGTAACATAATTCAGGTTCGAATTAACGTGTACAAAATTCGTTCCTTCATGTTAACCTGGTCTGAGCTTTAACATTTTATTATTTTAGATTTTCCAAACGTTTGTACACGAACGTGACGGGACTGGACTGTTGTACCCAAGTTGGCGGGTTCAAACCCGACCGAAGCCGTGGAGTTTTAAGGGTGGAAAAATTCTTCGTACGCCTTCCTTCGGAGGGGAAGTAAAGCCGGCTGTCCCATGTTCGTAGATTTACTTGCATGTAAAAGATCCTCAAGCCTAAATGACGCCTCTGAGCTAAATTCAAATCGCCTGTTTCTCGCTAAAGAAATACCTCCTTTCTCTGCTATATGAAAGGAGCGTCGCGAAATTTGCGTGGTCAGACGGAAGAGCGGGCCTGATGGCCTGAATCTCGCCACGAAAAATAAGGCATATTCAATTCAATTCAATTCAATTCAACGTGAAGTAGATTCGGAATTATACGGGTAAACAACACGGGGCTACGTAAACATAACATGTAAGTACTCAGATCCAGATGTATCAGTATCCAGATTAAAGAATTTATTGTGCCTTATTTCGCAGTTCCAAAGAGAAATTTTGACGTCTTGAAAATAAAATTCATGTTTTTTAAAAAAATATATATTATTTTAATACATTTTACAGCTTGTAAAGTTCTCTTTTTGCCTGTATGAGAGTTTTTAATGAAAAACAAACTAATGCAAATGACCCTTTATTTTACCCAATACTTTAATGCTCAATTATTTTCTTATTTCAACCGTGAGCAACGCTGGGCATGCTTGTTTTAAAACAACATTCGCACTTTTCCTCAGTTGAATATTGCAATGTAAAACGAATGTTACGAATATTGCGTGTAATCTACAAAACGCATGATTTAATGAAGTAAAGGACATTGTATTCTTAGCCAACATGTAGAGTACCGTGTAAACCTACCGCGCTTCTTTGCCCATAATTGAAGTGCGCGGCTGGGAGCGCAGAGCGGCATTCGCGCTGCACAGACGCCTCTGTAATTCGGCCGCAGCAAAGGGCGCAGCGCCTTTTGTGCGCGAGGGGCGCGACTGGAGGTCCGCGCTGCAAAACGCCGAATGGAAATGCAGGGGAGGGAGGCGCTCTGCGCCAGCGCTGCGCGGGGCTGAAGCAGGGGTCGAGGGGGGGGGGTGCGGGGTGGACGGTGCCCGTGCGCTTTGCGGCCAGTTGCGGCGGGACGAGCGTCCGCCACGGGTAGGCGGGTTGCGCCAGAAAACTACGGGAATGGGAATGGGCTTATAGAAAGAGGCGGGAAATGTCAATACCACAATGGGACACGAATACAAAGCTGGGAAATTTTTTGGCCCTTTACTAGACCTGCCTTTTTGATTTTACTTATTTAAGGTAGCATTTCAACTACCAAGGTCATATGGCGACCACCGTTCGTAACATTCAGAGTAACAATAACAGTAAACATCCATGCCACGGCGGAATTCGAAACCGTGACACTTCAGGCACGAGGCAGCTACGGTTCTCCAGCACTAGCAACCTCGGCTATTCAGGCCGGCATACTTCACCTTTGAGGGTGGTGAAATAATGTTGAAAACTGAAATATTCAATTCACAAAATGTCCTCTATCAGCTTCGTCTTTCTAAATGTTCCTGTCACAAAGGATGTCCACGTACAAAACATACGAAGTCAAAATGTCAAAAATATAAAATGTCCAGGAAATCATTTATAAATGTGCGGTAACCAAATTGTCATAAGATGCCAATAATTTTCTTCGTAATTTAAGAAATCAAAACGTGAATCAACTGCTGGTTGACTTATGTTAGTTCATCATTATTTGTTGATATCTATTACAGAATCATTTTTAAGTGTCAAGTCTCTTCAATCACAAATTAGTGCAATGTGATTTTGTTTTCTAATTTGCCATCATTTTGCTGAATTGCATAGTTTTGAAATTTCAAATGGTATGAGGTTGACTCTTAATAGCAGATGGCGTTTTCTACTTCATACAGTTCATATTGATGAAGCAGTGCAGGTACAATCATTGTTTAATAGGACTTTTGTAAAGTTGAGATCTAGGCAACAAGTATTGCATGAACTATAAATATGATTACTTGTGTAACCAATGTTCCTTTAATTTTCTCCTCGGATTCAATGAAACGCTATATATTTACTTAAGAAACAAAAACTTATTTTTGCAATTAGAAGAAAATACAATGATTCACGTTATAATTGGCTTACATAAAGGCTCGACATTTAACACATGGATTTTAACACAGGAGAATGTGCTTGAACGTTTCTAACGTATGGACTAGATTTTCTACACCTAATAGAGAGAATAATATGAGTTTTAACATTTTGAAATGGATTTTGCTTCTGTACATGGAATACTTGTATTGAATCAAATCTTTGGCTTCGGTATAAGCAATGTGTGTGGTGTTATTAATAATGATGACCTTTAAGCAGTTTGTCACAGCCTTCTCCAAGCAGCTAAATTCGTGATTTGCTCATATGGATCAAGCTACCAACTTAAAAATACAACATAACCTGGGATTTGACAGTTTATTACCTTTAAAAATAGAAAAATAACTATTTAAAGATATCTAAGAATGATAACTTTTAAATATTTATGTGTTTTGAAAGAACAGAAAGAAATTAAACTAACTCTAAACTAATTGATATGTTTGGTAATTAAGAAGTACTGTCTTTCCTGTTTTCTGATATGACAACTACATTTCTTTCAGCAAAACCGTTTTGCTATTTCTGTGATATTTGGGACTATATTTTCGAAGTTCTCGGTGTTTTCAAGATTAGGCTTCGCTGAAGTTAAGATAAAGCAAAACCTAATAAATTCACTTACAATTTCAATACAAAAAAATATAAAACAAAAAAAACAGTTTGCCGGAAAAAGAGCTGTCACCAGAGTCTATGATGTTAGAATGTGCTGTCACCATTACCATACCATCTTTCTAAATATATCTTGAAAAAATAGGTAAAAAAACATGTAGAGCCTATTTTAAAAAAAATTAAAAAATTAAAATTTCTCTTATTACCTGGAAACTACTCACATTTTTGGAAAATTGTTCATGACTACTTCAAGATGCGTCTTTGAAAAGCATATTTTATTTCTTTGTTATAGTTGTAGGAAGACGCTGAAAAAATCTGAACTTTTGTAATTTTCGAAAAATTGGGGATTTCAACAACAATGAGACTTGCGTCCTTCTCATAAGCATTCTGTTCGCTACGCGAGCACAAATGTTAATAAAAGAATTTGTAGCCATTTTTAAAAATGGTTTTGAGGCTTCGCTGTAAATTACCCACGAGAATCAAAATATTAGTTTCAAAGTCAGACAGCCTTACATTCCTTCTAACTGATCGAGGAATATCAATTTTGAATAAAACGTTGACCACTGACAGTCGTTTTGCTGTCATTTGATTCTTCAGTATCAAGGACCCGCCAATCATGGAATCTGACCTCATGGAGTGTTCGAGGAAGTATTTACTACATGAGGTTATAATACACGTAGAAACAAGATTTATCCGCCATAGTTAACAGAAGACGAATGCCATCGAGCCGTGGCTAAACCTCGGCATTTGCACTCAACAAACAGTCTATTGGAAATAGTGTTATTGTTTGAAAAATAGTGGTTTAATACGGCTCTCTGTAGCTCACAGAACATTCTAAAATCAAAGAGTTGGACAGATACACACATTTAAATTTGTCGTGCACGAGGCGCAGGCTGCGAGCAGTTGAATGCCGAGCGGTCGCGCGCATCCTATTAGAAACTTGCAAATTCTGCCAATCGCAAGGAGCCATGCGATCAGCTTTTCGCCTGCTTGAACGTTCGGGCGAGCTATCAACGCTCGCCATCGAAGCCTTCGGGTGACACCAACAGACCAAATCACAGCCCAATGTGGAGAGTTGAAATATTGACCGCCTGTACAGCGAGAAATAAGATTAGAACAGAACGTGATAACATGCCAGAATATTTAGTTTATATATGTCAGAACATCCACGCATCAAAGACTAGGTACTTTTGAAGAGAATATAAAAATTGTTACCGTATACGTACTTTAAACTTTCAGGTCATAACTCCATTTGTTTCGAAAGAAATACTTATTCTGCATGAAATTTATTGGTTCCCACCAGCGACGTTCCCTTTGCAGCCCATATTCTCAGAAGATATATTTGCAAATTGATTTTTCAAATAACTTTTCAACTTTCTCATAGATTTGTTTCCAATTTCCAAGAAATATATCGTACATAATTTGCAATGTGTTGTAGAAGGGATTTTACTTTATTATTATATTGACTGTGTAGTGCGGTGAAGTGCTGTGAAGTGCTGGTCAGTGAAATTCAAAGCACAAAAATTTAGTGTAGTGAAGTGAAGTGAAATGCAGTGAACGTGATCAATGCACTTTTCAATGCTGCTTTTCGTCTTGTACTGCATTGTACGGTATTATTATTATTATTATTATTATTATTATTATTATTATTATCATTATTAGTATTATTATTAATGTAAGTGTTGTAATTTTTGCAATTATTATCATTAACTGCCACCGGGTCATACCCAATTGCAGTTCTAATAAATAAATGTATGTATGTATTTTCGTAGTAATAAATATTTTGTCGGTGAGATAGCAATAATTTATGTTCCGAAATTGTGGAAAAAAATAATAAAAATGTGCTGCACTGCTGGCTATATGATTCTAATATATTTTACCTTAACATTTGATGTACCGTTCCCTATTAGAAACTGGTGGTGCAACAGCAGCACATAGTTTCTAACATTATTTGTAACGGCCAGCTCCATTTTTAGCGTTGCTTATGCTATCCAAAGAGAAGGTTTAATCAAAGAATTAGGAACCCTTTTTGAGAAAAAAATGGAAATACTATCTACCTGAAAAGATCAAAATTCTCCACAAATGTACGGTTTTTTCTCTATTCGACCCACCTTATAGAGGAATTACACTAAGAAGAGACCACTTTGACAGGTTAGGAAACATATGAACGTCATGCAGGGCGATGACACTGTAATATATAGTGGTGAACCCACTTACAAATGAGCTAATTGTAAACGAACCCATTGACATAATGAGTGCATTGACGTAACTTGCAATTATATTACCAGCAGTAGCCACACAGTAGCTGCCAAAGCGGCCCCTTCTTGTAGAAATCTCTCCATGCCATATGTCTCCTGCCTCTGGCGGGTGAAGCGGCGGTGAGGCCTGCGGGTGACGTTGTGCGTTGCGCAGGACGACGTGGCGGGGTCGGACGAGTCGACGGCGTCGTCGGTGCCGACGCCGCTGTCGTCGTCGTGCAGCCTGACGCTGGACTCGCCGCCCACGCACCACGCGCTGCGCGTGCACGGGGGCGGCGGGGGCAGCACCATCGAGGTGCCGGTTCTGGACGCGCTGTCGGCGCACAAGGGCGCGGCGGGCGGCGGCTACGGCGGCGGCGGCGGCGGCGGGCTGGGCGGCGGGTTGGGCGGCGGCGGCCTGCACCCGCCCTCCATCCTGCTGGAGGTGCCGTCGGTCGGCGGCGGCGGCTTCCTGTCGCCCATCCGGGAGGTGCCCACGCCGCTCGCCACGCCCGCGCCCTCGCCCGCGCTCACGCCCGTCATGCCGCGCTCCTCCGTCATGCAGCAGATGGCGGCCGTCATGGCGCGCGAGGCGGAGGTGGAGGCCGCGGCCGCGCAGGTACGCTCTTGCTTGCTTGCTTTCCTCTTCGCCCTTTCATTTCCACGGCTCTTTCCTCTCGGCTCTGGCATCACCTCATGTCACTGCAGTGCCTCTGACCGGGAGGTCCTAGTTTTCACTTCCGACGGTGGCGGACACTAGCTACGTACCTAGGTCGAATTCACCTGCAGCCTGGAGAAGACATCTCCCAGTTTTTTTCTCCTTTCTAATTTATCCCTTCCGTTTTTCGTTCCTTCGCCTCATTTCCTTTTACTTTCTACCTTGTTTTTTCTCCCTCTTTCTATTTTTCCTCTTCCACCTTTGTTGTTGTTTTTTTTTCGTTTCTCCCCTCGTGCGTGGCAAGCAGCAGCGCGTCCCCCGCGAGCGTGCGCCAGTCGAGTCGTCGTGTGTTGGCAGGGCGCGCGCAGGCCCGAAGGCGGCGCCGCGGCCGGGCGCGCCCCCGCCCCGTGCTGCGCGCCTCCTGGTGACGAGACGACCGCCCCAGCGCCGCCCCGCGGACGAGGGGGGCGGGGGGCCGGGGCCGGGGCCCCCGCGCTGTAGCCCCCCGCTGCGCCGCCAGTCCGCCAACGCCGCGCCGCCCGACGGCCTCGACGCGTCGCCCCCCAACAGCGCCCCCGCCGCCTCCGCGCCCTTCGCCTTCGCCTTCCAGGTGCCTCGCGCTCCGCGCTTTGCTCTTGGCCCTCGCTGGCACGCGCCGGGCGACGCGCCACTGCGAGAGCGTGAGTGAGTGAGAGAGAGAGAGAGAGAGAGAGAGAGAGAGAGAGAGAGAATGGCACACAGACAGGCAGGCAGATTGACAGATCGGGTGCTAAGGGAGTGACAATGTGCGAAGTTCAGTGAATGGGTGAGTGGGTGGTTGAGTGAGGACCTAAGTGGGTGTAAAGTTCAGTGAGTTGATGGGTGATTGAGTGAGTGGGTGGATGAGAGAGTGGGTCAGTAATGTCATTGGGAAGGTGGATCAATGATTAGAGTGTAAGAGAGAGAGAGAGAGAGAGTGTGTCAGAGACAGATCGATAGAGAGGGTCAGAGAGAGAGAGAGAAAGTGGGTAGGTAGATTAGTATGATGGTACGTGTGTGAGGGAGTGAAAAATTGAATGAATGAGTGGGTTCGTGAGTTAGTGAGAGTTGAGTGGATGACTGGATAAGGGAGAGTGGGTGGTTGGATCAACGATTGAGTGAGTGTGAGTGTAAGAGAGACAGACGTTCAGACAGAAACACACACAGAAAGAAAGGACGGGAGATATAGAGAAAGTGAGTGAGTGAGTGAGTGAGTGGGTGAATGAGTGACCGAGTGAGTGAGAGAGAGGATGAGTGGATCAATGGTTGAGAATTTGAATGTAAGTTAGTGACTGCGTCAGTGGGTGGATGGATGAGAGATTGGTGTGTACAGATGTGTGAGTGTGAGTGAGTGTGTGAATATCTTTGACTGTGATTCAAGATGGTTTTGTGATTTAGTTTATAATCAACTGTCACTTAAAAATGAAATTTTATTAAAATTAAGTACTGACGAAGAAATGAAATTCCCTCTTTCAAACATGGATAAATACCTGTCGGTACTACAGTTACTTCAATGTAAACAATCAAAGAACGTGACCTAGAAGTTAAAAAGAGACCTTTAAAAAAATACACCATAGAATCGTATATTTAAAATGAAGGTTGGATATAAACAAAACAGATTTTGTAAACAACAATTTGGAATTTGAAATAGTTTAAGAAAGGACGAAAATCCATAAAAACCGACATTTAAAATATTGGTTAAAATAAGAGCTTTAACAATTTAATATCCGTCATATGGGTAATGCGACATTGAATTTATCACTATATGGTAATGCCTATGATACTGATTTCTCAGCGCAGTTCAGTGCGGTTCCAATTCGTTCAGAAGAGTCTTGGTCGACAAATACGAGCCTCCGAAGCCAGTCAAACCGATTGAGCGGAGAAAATACGCACTTCAATAGTTCAAGATTTGCAAACTTGAACTACGATGGGAGAAGAGATGGGCGCTCAGAATAATAACAGCAGATCCCAAACGAAGTTCTTTTTGAGAAAATTAGTTTTTTTTTCTTTTTATTCATGTTCACTTACACTCCGAATAAATGTTTGAACATGGAATTTGAAAGTTTTGCCATATCCCAATTCATTTGATATTTCCGCATATGAGAGGTATATGGTAAAAGTTTACCGTCGTACTTCTAATTAAAAATACGAGGTCAGTTGAGATCTGTCTTTATTGTCCTGAGCGCCTCAATTGTTTTGAGTTTCACGCCAATATTATCTTTAGTATGTTGTCAGCCTTAAACCTTGTGAATGTATCGAGATTATTTTTAATAATTTGATGAGTCCTGATGGATCCGTGATTATGAAGATGTGGTAGATGGATGCGTAGTAATAAAGATGATAGAAGAATAGGGGAAGGTGCTGTAGGGAATCTGGAGAGTCCTGAGGAAACGTGTCGCAAACTCGCTTTGTTCGCCACAAATCCTACAAGGATCGTCTGGGATATGATTCGAGGCGCGAGTGATGAAAGGCGCCTCAACCATAGGTCTCGCTTCTTTATCGCCTCGTGAGCTGCACGCCAGAGCTCTTCAAGTTGGCCTCTCACCGGGCACAGCAGCATGCAGCCGAGTCCTTTTGAGCACATAGCGCCCTGCTGCAGAGAGGGCAGGGGATGGCGCTGCTGTACTCCGGCGCCTGTGGCAAAAGTTGTGGTGTTGTGTGGCAGTGCGTCCGCCGTCAGTGGCGACCTCACCGCGGGCGGTGGCGCGGCTCGCGCGTCGGCGTCGGCGAGGAGGACAGGGACGGAGCCGGCGGACATGCTGCGTGCGACGGACGCCTACGGGCGACGGGCACGTGGCGCTCCCCGACTCGGACAGCGACGGCCAGCGCGCGGCGGGGGCCGCTGGGGCGGTGGGGCTGGTGCGGGGGCGGGGCCTCCCATTGTTGTGCCGCTGCTGACGGTGCAGGAGCCGTGTCGCCGCACGGCAACGCCCCTCCGCCGCCCTTCCTCCGGCTCCCCGCCCCTAGCGCCTCTTGCCCTCGGCGCCGGCGACTCAGCCTCCTCGCAGGTACGGCTCATCGCTCTCCACCCCCACCTCCGCGCGCCACTCGTGCGGCCGTTGTGCCGGATGCGTTCAAACACGCAGATGTGTCATAGTGCGGCGCAAACGACGTCTTCCGACTGCGTCCTACAACATCGACTGTCAGACAAACATCTGGTTTCTTAATACGGGCTGTTCCGTTCGTCTGAAATGACTGAAGTGTCAAGACCTATTGCAATAGCAAGACCATCAAAAATAAACGGAGATGGTCTTGGGCGCGCTTCTCGCAAACGTTTTAAAAAATGAGTTGTGGAATTATGGGAATGTTCGAGCTCTTTCTTGTGCAAAGAATAAAATTAAATTAGACTCACTAAAAGCGCGGTTGCCGCGGAATAATTTGAAGGTCACCATTGTAGTGGACATGTGGTTACCTCGTACTTAGACATTGTAGTGGAAATGTGCATACTTAGACACTGCCTGAGATAAGAGCAAGTTAGTTGTTTAGAATAACGATATTTTTCGGTGCGTATGTTGATGAAATTCTATGTGTAATAATATGGTTAAGAGATGTTCGGCATATATTAAGTGCCCGGCATATATTGGCATATATTATTCCAACTTCAAATTCAGTATACAAGTTTGACTCTTCAAAACGAAATATTACGAGGAGAACATCTGAGTTATAAACAGTAATTAATTGTAAATGTTGAAGTCATTTCAATTAAAAATTTGCATATCTATAGTGTTAAGGAAAATGGCAGCTGGCATAGAAAACATGTATCCATACACAGCTAATTCTCCGTTGCTTTTTCTCCTTTTTTTATTGCTGTTACACTCATCGAAAAACAAAGATAATGATCAAAACGAGCGCAATTGCAGAGTCAAAATTGAAACCCGCGTGCAAATTTCCCTTCGGAATAGCGGCCACGACTGCTTTCAATTTATCCTGTGTCCATCCACAGAATTGTACGGATTAGTTCTTGTGGAACATACGGATGTTTTTCCAGTGAAATAATTCGGACGGTTTCGCACACAGGCGTCTGGTAACGAACGATCGTCTGCACTTCGACTGTAGCCTAACACTTCGCCCTCTTTTTCTAACTTCTACTTAACTAGTGAAAATCCATCAACAATTACTATTTATATTCACTCTCTGATCTTCGCATTTAAAAATCTGATTGCTCTTTGCACTTACAAAACTCTATTTTGGCTACGCGAAGATAACCTGTACCGTACCTTGTACTGTGCTTATACTCACATGCGTGCTCTCTCTAGAAATCGAAATAACGACTGCTTTTGATCTACTCTCATGACAAAACAAAGTAACGAAAGAGTGATGGCAGATACGTGTCCATTATAATATTTGTGTGCTATAGTGTTAATAGTATAAAATTGATTAATAACAGCAATTTATAACTCAACTAGGACCACGTATCGTCCATTTAAAGAAAAATCACATTTGATTGAATAGAGAGCTTAAATGACATTCTAAAAGAAAAGAGTGGTGATATTTAGAGATAAATTTTTCAAATAGATTTTTGTTACTTTTTCTCTGTATTATTATTATTATTATTATTATTATTATTATTATTATTATTATTATTATTATTATTATGATCAGCATCAATATACTATTATTGGTGGTATTATATGTAGCAGTATTTGAAAAAAATATTGTCGATTGATTCTCAAAATTTCTAAAGTTTGTACATCACGATTTTTTAAATTAACGTCTTTCTGCATTCAAAGTGGGGAAAATGAGTTAGATACATCCAATATTAGAATAAGCATTGAAAATACATACCAGTGTAATTCGAGGAAGAACTACTCATAGGTTCATTAAGGGTCGTGACAGTAACGTCAAGAGATTCGTTCCAGTTTCCCCAGCCTTTACTGGGCATTCATTGGGAGGTAAGGTTATAGCAGCATTTTGTGTTTTTTGACACAACATTCACGCTGTCCTAGAGCATGATATACAATCGCAAAAGGAAATTACCATGACGATGGCTCAAATCCTATGAACACATCGGCTAGGAAGTGGGAAAGGAGCTTTGAAATATGTAGTACCCACCGTTCGTTCTATTCCATTGTCTCCCGTGATAAGGACATTTCTTTCCTCACGCCCCTCAAGAGGCACGAATGTACACGTACATTAAATTTAATGTACACGCACTTTAAAGGTACTGTATGTCTACATTTGATGTTCGTACATGATAATTACTTTACATTAAAAGTAATGTAGGCATTACTGACAGTGTAGGAGTGTAAAGTAAAAACACTCGATTGAACTCGATTTTCTCAATACCACATTTAGAGCACTGACAGTCTTTGTATTCTAAGCCCCTCAATTCTAAGAGAAGGTTTTACGGTTGTCCAATAAATGGTATCTGAGCATTGGTGCGTTATTCAGTCCTCCTTGAGGGCACCGCAGTTGTAGTTGCTTTGAGGCATGACCTAGCGCACTGAGACGAAGTGGCGTGTGTGGTCGCAGGGCGGCCTGGGCTTCGGCGGCGGCAAGGGTGCGCGGCGGCTGCTGCGCGAGCTGGACAAGCCCAACTCGCTGGACCTGCCGTGCGCGCCGCCGCTCATCACCGTCACGTGCAACATGAGCGAGGCGGACTCGGACACGGACTCGCCGGCGGCCAAAGCGGCGGGCGTGCACGCGGGCGGCGGCGGCGGCGGCGGACCGGGCGGCGGCGGCGTGGGCGTCGCCATGTGCTACCTCAGCCCGTTCTCCATGTGCTCGCGCGCCGACCGCACCGCCTCCGAGTCCAACCTGAGCTCTTCGGGCTACAGCTCCATGGCCAGCCCGGGCCCGTCACGCTGCGGCTCCAACAACCCGCTGTGCCCGCGAGAGGTGAGAGACCGCCCGGGGGGATCGGGGGCGGGCCGGGGCCGCCGGCGCCACGACGCTGGCGGCGCGGCGGCCAGTAGGCCGGCGCCGCGCGGCGCGCGCAGGCCTCCCCGCTGCTGCGCACGCCGCGGGCCGGCGGCCGGCGCGGGGCGCGTGGGGCGGCGCGCTGGGGCGCGGGCGACGCAAGCGCTCGCATGCCGAGGCGGAATGGGCCGGCCTCTGAGCCCTTCACGCTCCAAGGAGGCCGCGAGACCCGCTCGACCGGAGACTTCATTTCGGACACCTGCTTCGTGGATCTAACGACGAAGGCATCAGCACCGACACCTCGACAGAAGATCGAGGAGGCGAGGCTGAAAAGCCGACCCAAGGAGCTGCGAGTGTTTCATCAGCAAGGAGTGCTGCGAGCTGCAGTCGCTGCTGCGCCGAACGCGGACGGCGGCGGCGCGTGGTGCGGAGTCGGTGCGTGTGCAAGGCCGGGGCGGGTCCGCGGCGGGGCCGCAGAGCGGTTTGCGCGTGAAGGCGGCGCGCGCTGCGGCAGCGTGACGGCCGACCTGGACGCCGGCTGCCGTCCGCCGGCCCGAGCGCCTGCCCCGCGCCCGCGCCCGCGCCCTTCGCCCTCGCTCTCCCCTCGCCCTCGCTCTCGCCCTCCCGGCCGGCAAGTCCGTCCTGCATCCCGTGCATCTGGTGCAGACGGACGCCGGCGGCGAGAAGCACCTTCAGCCCGTGATTCTCGCGCAGCGAAAGCCCGCTCAGCGACAAGCACGGGCGGACGGCGCCTTTGGGCCGCTTCTCGCCCATGTTCTACCGGCCCGCACAAGTCGAACCAGCCTGCGTTCACGGACTCTGCGGACGTACGACTGCCCCCTCGGACTGCCCGCCCAACCGCGCGCCGCTGGGCGGCGTCCGCGCACCCGCAAGCACCGGCAGTCGCGGCGGGCGGAGCGCGGCGCGGGCGGCGGCAGCGGGGCCGGCGGGGGCGCGGCGCCGACGCCGGCGCCCCGCAGAGCCGAGCCCCACCCGCGTGATGCAGCTGCTGACCTGACGTGCCGCTGCAAGGAGGCAGGGCGGGGGCGGGCGGCAGGCTGGGCCCCCGCGCGGGCCGCCCCGAAGCCCAGCCCCAAGCGCTCCGCGCGCCGCGGCGCAGCCGCCCCATCAGCCTCCTCCTCGTCCTCCGAGAGCCTCAAAACTCCGCAGCTATGCCCCCCCCCCCGCCCCAGCAGCTCTGCTTGGGGTAGGGACTAGCTTGCGTGGATGCGAAAGAGTACGGAATAGTGGCGAAGGCAAGAACTATTTCACAGCTCAAGTAGCGTGACGTGTGGGATTCCTATGTTACAACAAAATCTCATGATCACAAAATCCCCTAGCCTACCATTCACTGTAACGTATACAAATACTATAAAAACAAATGTCTCATTTGAAAACAGTTTTGTAGAAGTGTCTCAATAGCATTGAACCCTGAATAGAAGGATATTTTTCCCATTTTCCTACCGGTTAAATATTTATTATTTTACAGAATTTATTGTAAATCTGTCACTAGTGAATAAATGGGTTGATGGTGTGTATAGACACTTTATGGGAATATTTTTGTTACAAAATTGTATAAAGAGGAGAATGAGTCAAAGAATACGATTTTTAGAAACTTATTTCTCGATCGAACCTCTTAAAGCAACTGAATGTCTTCTTTGGAATGCTCTTTAGACTTGGGGTTGCAAACGCTGGACCTCTAAAGACCTTGCAGTGAGAGGCGGGGTACCGCCTACCTCTCGCCATCGCGATCACGTGGACATGTTCTGGCTAATGCCCGCATATGGCTAATCCGCAATCAGCTGGTTGAGCAATTATCCGAAATGGAAAGACAAAGTCCGAGATAGGAACATATTTGATTCGCACCAGATAAGTGCATATTAGCCCCCACAAGATGACTAAGGTAGGTGAAGTAGGCACTCGTACGTTACGGCGACGATGAATAGCAGATATTGTGATAAAAAAGGAATCATACAGCTTCTGGAACTTTCTAAGGCTAGTGAAACACAAAGTGTGTAGTTGCAAGTTTCACAGTGTCTATTGTAAATTCCTATTTACACTCTACCATGTAATTTAACCTAGGCTCACTATATGCTTCAGTGGACGTTTCAATACACATTTCCGAGTGGGCGACGAAGTTCCGGCCTTCGCGATTTACAAAAACAAACTCGAGTCTATGCAAAACACATTTTTCAACGCTTTTTTAGGTCAAAAATTTTTGCGGGCACAAGACGCATCGTACTCCTACAATTAAAGTGCCTGTAGCATGTGGCCAATTATTAGCACAGAATTCAAAACGTTCTGTTCATCGTCATTCGTACAGCTTTATCCAAATCATCTGACTAATGTGCGAAGTAGCCATATTTCGTGCGAAGTAGCTATATTTCTGCTTTAAACTGTAAAATGGAGATTAAAATGCTCATTGGTGATTTTATGTCGAACTTGGTGTTACCTCATGCGCCACCTGACCTACGTTTTCAAAACAGATAAATCCTAAACGATTTAAACGTAGTGGCACTTCGCGATCACGAGGTGGACGGAGAGGGAAACATTGTCATCCAATTCGTTATGCCTTAAAGTTTTGGTATTGAAGCTCTCGATGGGATGACAATATCCCTTTCTCCTTCCAGCGTGTGACCTTGAAATGTGTGTTTAAATCGGCGTATGAGAGCAGCCCAGCCGCCACGCGCCGCTCCGTCCCCATTCTGCGCATGCAAGGGTCCGGTTGCGCGTAGCTCGGGGTCGTGGGGGGAGGGGAACCAGATCTCAACGTCTAGGGTGACTAGTTCCAGGCCCGACTTAATTGGGACCCTGATTTATTGTTCATTATAAATATATAATAATGTGCTTACATTCAAACTAACCGCTAATGAAAGTTCGGAAGAAGATTTAAGTATAGACTATAATGAACGCTAGCAACAAAACTAAAGCAATGTGGAACATAGTAAAAAATACGACCATATCATCTCGTTACTTAGTAGAGAATGTTGTATTAAAGGATAATGAAAGAGAAGCAAGTAATCCGGAAAAAGTGGCAAATCTCCTCAACCAACACTTTTCTGGAATTGCGGCTGAACTCACGGACTAAAACCGCAAAATTCACCATCATTACCTTCCCAAAAAATGTTCGACACGATGTTTATTTCCGAAACTGTTTCTAACGTAATCCTGAGAATAGTCAGAAAACTAAAAAATAAATATTCATCTCGATTAGATGAATTTCCGTATTGTTTATAGAAAACTTGTGTACCTGTCTTTATACACCCGTTAACTCACATTTTCGTTGCTTCTTTATGCATAGGGATATTTCCAGATATTTTCAAAACAGCAAAAATTAAACCACTTTTTTTTAAAAGGGAGCAGAAATGAAAATCACCAATTTCTCTTTTGTCAAGTTTCTCAAAAATATTAAGGAGGCTTCTGTATAAGCGAATGGAAACTTTTCTCGGAAAAAACGAAACATTTTCGGACTCACAGCACGGGTTAAGAAAATCATAATCTACGGAAACTGCCATTTTTTCTTTTATTAAATATGTTGCTTTAACAATGAACTATAATGAAGGACGATTGGAATACTTTTAGATCTTTCGAAAGCTTTTGACATTATTGACCATAACATCTTGCTATCAAAATTACTTTCTGGTATCGCCCTAGATTGGATAACCTCATACCTTAAACATCGATCTCAAAGAGTAGAAATACCGTATTGACACGAAGAGACATTATTTACTTACCTTTGCCATTCTGTACTAATTGAATATGGGATCCCGCAAGGTTTGATCTTAGGTCCTATCCTCTTTCTGTTATACGTAAACGATATGCCCTCGTCTATTAAAAGCGGTTGTTTGAAGATGACACGAATGTTCTTTTCAAAAAAGAAACAATAAATAGTACGATTTTAGAAGATTTAAATTAGTTTTGAATAACAAATTAATAGTTAACGATGAAAAAAATGTTTCAATGCATTTTTGCATTTCAAATCAGCAATCGCTTGCTCCATTGAAAATGAACAATATGCAATTAGCTGATGTTCAGGTAAAAACATTTCTAGGTCTCTCAATTCAGTCAAGCCTCAAATGAAATGTACATAATATAAATTAAGTTTAATATGTTACGCATTCAGAATTCTATGAAATTCAGTCAGCCTTCATGCAGTTCACGTGTATTTTAAAAATGTGCATTCACGCCTGAGACATGGCATAATATTCTGGGCAAACTCATCATATAGTACTCAGCCCTTTTGATTGCAAAAGAAAATTATTTGAATAATGAAAAAAATGCCATCTGTGTGATCCCTGCAAGCCTCTCTTCATTGAGCTTGGAATCTTAACACTCACTGCCTTGCCTATTTATTTACAAATCTGTAATATTTGTCAAAACTAACTTACTTAACATATTTCCATGCAATACTGGTATTTATAATTACAACACATGTCATAGAAATCATGTTCATCAAGTGTCAATATCAACAGCTCACTATCAGAAATCCACATACATTACATGTACGTTACTTTACATATATAATACATACAGGAAATTATCGCAAAAGTGTCATTTCATACCATCAATTTTGACAGATTACCTCTGAATTTTTTTTAAAGAAAAAATATTTAACTATTGTTAAGGAACAATGATCTTTAAAATATATCCTGGGTGTCTTTTGTTTAAAATAAAGGGCTTCCTTGGATCTACTGCCCCTGGTCTTTTGTTTTCTGTGGGTGCTCTTATCAAGCAACACTAGCTCTCCCAGGCTTTCTCCTAGAAAATTGTAAATCATTTAGATCACTTCTTCAGAATATTTTTGAAAATCGGTATTATAAATGTTCTTTTATCAGTACAATTACAATGTTGGTATGGGTGGTGGAGGGTGTTAGTAGGTAATTTTGTGATTTCCGTAGAAATAATCATTCCCTATGTTCTTGCAGTAGTGAGTTGATTACTTCGCTTGGAATACGATAAGGATAAGAGCCAAAATCTTTAGCATATTGGCCAATGTGAATGCCTTCTATTGCATGGGTGCAAATATATCTTATCAGTTTTTGTCAAAAACATTCATTGCATCCTTTATTCACAATTTGACTTAGTACAAAGTGAGGATATGTGTTTAGGAGGTTAAAAAATGTGCACAGATTGTGCCTCTACTTCAAAACTTTTTTTTTTAATACTTTTTTTTTTTACTTTTTTTATGTCCAAAAAATAAAATCAAGCAAGGATAAATAATTAATCAGAACAAATACATTTATTGTCGAGACAAATTTGAATGACCTGATTAAGTTATCGTCAGTCACGGTTCTGCAAAAGAAACCTTTTGGTTTGTTTTTAGTGTTTTGAATTGTTGGCAAATAAAAAAAAAAATTTTTATTTGTAATTATTGCCTCAAAAATAGTTCTTAACATATGTTAAATTGAAATATTTATTAGTCACTGATGAGATTTAGTTAGCTGATATTATTTTTAATCCTTGATATAAAAACATTTTGAGAAAAGTCAAAAGTTTGTTTAAGTAAATTATGAATGCCAAGGTTTATTATACTAAATTTTGCCTCAACACTTTTCAGGACAAACACTTCTCAAATTATTTATGAAAAATATTTTTTTAAATTATAATGTGTTATGATGAATGTAATGATGTGCTAAATGCCTTCAAAATTGTTTTCTGAAAATCTCACCTCAAAATACGATTTTTAAAGCAAAAGATTCAAAATATTTAGTCAAATGTGAAGTGTAGGAGATAGACTCCTCTTAAAAGCTTAGTTCAGTATAAGAATCAATGTTTTGTATTAAAACATGTTGCTTTAGAGGAGCTTTTTGGCATCTCATCATTAGACTTTGGTTCTCAAACTTCATTCACAGGCACCTAAAATAAGCTTGTAAAAGGAGAAAAATAAATGTTATTATTTCTTAAAAGAGCAATATAAGTTGAGATAAAAATAACTTTTCAAGATAAATGTTATTTATTTCAAACTGTCATATCTCAAATATATTAGTAAAATATTGAGAAGAACAAAATTAAATATGTAAATGCAAAAGTATAATTACAGCTAGTAGAGATACAAAGGTACAATGAAATAAATTTCTCCCATAAAATTCTAGACTAAAATTATTTCCCATACTTTACCTCGCAATATAAAACCAACAGTTGTAAACACAACATTTTTTTAGGCACTATAAATGAAGTTCCCATAATAATATAATATTATGGGATTCATTTACAATTAGTTGTGAATGTCTATTTGAAGACAGTAATATTCACCTAAAAATCCAAAGTCTACTTGTCATGTTACAGTCTGCTGATTTCCCACCTTCAATGTCATAGTTCATTGCTTATGTTGCTTTTGTACTGAACGCTTCACAAATACTGGAGTTCAACAACTAGAAGGAAGGACTGCATGGCACACTGATAGCATAGCATCTTTATCTACTGCCTCAACTAACACTAATGACATAAGTGTGCTATTATTGTTGAAGCAATGTCTATGCTTGCGTGGATAACTGCCAAGTACACTGATTTTCAGGTCCATTTCTGAGAAATATTTGAGAAGTGATACGTACTTGTTATTTTGAATAATATAGAGAGCTGAGCATGCGTGAAAAGCCTGACCATATCTGCTGGCCAGATCATCATGAAGAAGAGTGGGGAAGCACCATGAAGGGCCGGAGGCTGTCTGCGGAGGCGTCGGGAGAGGACACCGGCGAGGTGAGGCCCGCTCCCCACCAGCCGAATGCCGTCCTTCCAGCCAACAAGCCACCAGATACTTTTGTACGGTGTTACAATCAGAATATCGATAAGTGAATTACTTTGTATCACATTCACACATTTTATGAATGCAACACAAGCACTTCTTGAATTTGTTCCACAGAATTTTTCATTTCACTTAGTTTACTTATTGATGCAAAATCAAACATCATTTCATAATGCATGTATATAATTCTTATACAATCTGTCTAATCTAGCTATTGCACTTGATTTCCTTTAAAGCATATTTTATGTTTTATGTACATTGATATTTTTACATCTTTATCTTGTCCATTAATTGCTGAATCCTTTTTTCTTTTATTTTGCCGTTGCCAACACTTTCATTATATATTTCTCTTGATGTTCGTTGGTGTTTCTAGATTCCAGTTTTGGTCTGTGGATGAATACAGGGCCATCAACTGGCTTGCTGGAGAAGTTGAAGGTCTCGAGTTGCTACATTTGCTGCTCATTTATTCTGAGCAAAGAACATGGAAGAACAAGAAAGTATTACCAATCCATTGTTAATTTACCCCTAGTAATGTTGTAGAACAGCCTACAATACCTTTTCCTTTGCTGGTCAGTACAATAGTTAAAGGATGACAAGAACAACTATAGTAGTTCTAATGTAGAGGAAATAATTTCCCTGATATGTTTTAAAGAGAAGGCTTTTCACACTTCTTTAAGTCCAGCAGAAAACTGATTAACATAGAAACACAAGTGACAATATTCCTAAAGGCAAGAATGGAATTTATTAATAATTTATAAACTTTTAATAATTATTTAACTTCTGTTTGTTACTAGGAAGCAATCTCGAGTCCTTCATTAAAAAGCTGTATTATGAAGCATATTATATTTAATATTCATAACAATTATTGAAGTAAATATCTGTTTTTATATATTTTCTACTTACTGATCTTCTACTTATTAATATTCTTTTGTAAACATCACTTATTATTAGAAAGCATTCTCTACCTTTTTGTTAGCGCACTGCAGATCATCAATAAACTCTCTAAATATCATTGAAATTACACCCAAAGTCTTTTTTGACTTCATTTATTACTTCTAAGTTAGTCTCACTTTTTCTGCTTGCTTTTCATTCATTAGATGTGCATATGAACCTATAATTTTAGTAGAACTTAGCACTTTGTTTGTGTGTATTGGACACCCAAGGATGTGCATTGTGTTTGTTGTATTGCTTTTTAAATGTCTTGTGAATGTTAGTTTCATCATTTACTTCTCTATCATTTCATAACAAGAAGACTCAATGAAAATAAATATGTATCTTCAGTTACCAAATTAACAGGACTATGTAGAAAGTTGCTGGTGTAACTGATTTAAAACAAATTTACGTAAATACACTACTTCTGAAGAGTTTTGGAGTTGACATTGAAACTAATTTGCCCTTTTTTGTAGACCATTTGATTTGTTTCATGTGCATATAGGATGCGGCATCATATATGCTTCCAAAGATGATCCGAGATGAATTGCCGAAACCACATAGAAAAATCAGCCGACTTCGAACTATAAGTAACCAAATCAGGTAATTCATTTTAAAATTATAAATATTGTAATGTAAGTAGTGATGACAGAAAAAGAGTCAATGAAGATGAAGACAGTGTTCATCTTCATCGTATAGGGTCATTCCATCCAAAATTTTAGGATTTTGAAGGGTAGCTTCTTCAATGTTTTTCATATTTCAGTATTTGATTAACATAGTAATTAGTAGTTACATATCAAATTCTAAGACCCCTAACTTGAAAAAATTGGCTACAACAATGAGAGAAATATTCTGTTACTACACTTGCAAGACTTTCAAAAGTATTTCTTAATAAATAGACTTTTATTAAGAAATACATATATTTATATGTATGTATACAGAAATACATAATATAAATACAGATTCAGAACAAACGATGTACCGATTTAGAGTTGAGACATGTACATTGAAATGAAGGTAAATAAATCAAAGTTATTGTTAAAAATACTTGCAAAAATTGTTGTAAAATTACACAAAATATTAATAATTAAAAATGCAACGTTTTTAATTAAAATATTTTTTCCTACATAAAGATCATCTAATTTGTATTCATGGTTCGAATTTCATCGCGGGACTACAAGTTTTTATGTTACAAATTAGTTAATTTCGGCGATATTTGTCTTTAAGGGCTATAATCGCTCGCACTTGAGCTGCTCTGTCCAACACTAGACCGAGTGAAAGACGTGCGCTTTGGAATCACTGAAGGTCGGATACATAGGGGACCTTCAGGGAGGGCTGATGAGGCTTTTAGCTACAAAAGTCTTTGTTCACACTTTCCTCACTGTCTGAATGGTGTGCGAATTTCTTTTCGTTAGGTAGCTTGCTTGAGTCGAACGCTGGCCATTGGGCGAGGAAGTCGTATTCATTATGGTCCAACTGCGTATTGAATAGTAAAATTTTGCACGTAAAAATATGTATGTAAATTGCCAAAATCGAGTAAAACATGGAATATTTTGTGGTGATGCAACCCTTTTGAACTTCAAAAGCATTCCAATCAAATGGGGAAAAGGAAGATGGCCGAGGAAATGCGTAAAAAGATTCTGGATTTATTGTTTGGTGATTCAATTTGTGATGGCTGACGTCATGAAATATTCAAAATGACTGTAAACATTCCTGTTGTTGAAACTGAAGAAGAAGCCGAGGTGAGCAAATCTACAAGTGACGACGAATATTTGCATGAAAATCAGCAAAATGTGAATATTAGTTATAAACTTTTAACTCCTTTTGGTCACTCCCTCGTTTTCACTATCAAGGTTCAAATCATGTGCTAAAAGAAAAGCTAGTACTGATAAAGAAGTGATAAATGAGATTTTAATGTTGTGAGAAAAATGATGGAGAAGAAATTATTTGCCAATTTAAAGATAAATTTTCAAGTGTTGAAACAGCGAATACTTTTCATTCGCTGTTTTAACACTTGAAAATTTATTATTCTAACACTATTATTATTTCAACACTATTAAAATTTATGATTCTAACTTGTCTACCAAAAAGCTGGAGTGAAAATGAAATAAAGACTGTATTCGGGGTTTCTACTCATGTTGCCAAATTAACTCAAATGCAAAAGGACATTATGTCAATTCCAGATATAAAATATTAACGACATCTCTCAGATGTTATAAAATGTGTAACAATTTTTTTCACGAAGATGATATAAGCAGAATTATGGCTGGTATGAAAGATAAGAAATGTGTTAAGGAAGGAAATAAAAAAGTTAGAAAGCAAAAGAGACTTATCAGAGACTTAAGAGCTAATCAAAGAACTTCATAAAGAATTCAAGAAAAGACATTGAAATAATAAAATCGGTTTCTCAACTTTCGCATCTCTAAAGCCAAAGAATTGTGTACAGCCAAGAACTCCAGCTACGCATAATGTTTGTGTGTGCGTTATTTGTAAAAACACCAAATTAATGCATGCAAGTGTAGAATCCATCATAGGCGGCAGTAATGTTCTTGTTCCGAAAGTGTGGGTAACAATCCTTAATCAAATTGTTATGTAAACACTTGTGAGAAATGTCCAGATATTTCAAATCTTCGTGGCACATTAAAGTCGCTCGTTCGCCTCCTAAGCCGGTGAGACTCGCGTTTTCCTTCGTCCTCGGAGACGTTGGCCTTCCCACGTTGGCAGCTGCCGCTCTTGGAGGTAGGCGCTGCTTCCTCTTCTGGAGTACTTTTTTATATTCTCATCTTTCTCCTTCGACCTGTCCGGCAAGGGAGGCCCTACCCCCGCTCTCAGGGTCATTGGGATACTCAAGCTCCACCACCAACTACAAGGTCATGTACTCCCTATGTGAAGATGATGATGATATTATTATTATTATTATTATTATTATTATTATTATTATTATTATTATAAGTAGTAGCCATAAAATGACAATAACATTTAAATTTTAGTTTTAATTTAAATATGAAATTGAACAAATCTTGAAATGTTAAATTATTTGCTACTAAAAACAATTATCTACTTACAATATTTTACTCTATCTGTAACAAATATTGCAGTATAATTCTTGGGTCAATGACCTCCATCTCAATCAGTTTTTGTTCAGTTTCCCTAGATCCTTTGACAAATCTGAGATGGCACCTTCTTTCACTTCTGGACAGTAATGTAACTTCCCTCACTCCACCCAAAACATCACATTGACTCATCATACACAACTGTAATTGTAATGTGACTCAATAAATATTATTAATATTATATTATTGTAATGACAGCACACAAAATCTGTTGTTTGATCTGCCATCTTCAACTGTGCAATCATTCTTTGAGGATTTGAGTGAGATGATGTTTCTGTGCTGAAATCTTTACAGATATCTAGTCTGTAAACTTAGCTTTTTTCTGCTATATCAAAAGACTTTACATGACTGGAAAATGCTCATACTCAATTGTGTGAAGCCCTGGATATTGTGGAATATGTGCAGATTGAATTAGGTTGAATTGAGTATTTACCTTCATTGTGCAAAATTAGGGACATTTCTGGGAATATCACAACATTTGAAGACAATGAACTGAAGCTGCCATGTAGAAATCTCTGCCTCCACATATGCTCCTGTGATGTGAAGAGGAGCTTTTCCAGGTTGAAAATTATCCTCATTGACAACTGTATGTCTTTCAAAATGGAAAGCACGAAAATACTCCTTGTTATCCAGTGCAACTCTGCACAATCTGAAGACTTAAGAGAATATTGGAATATTTTAAACATGTAATGGACAGAAGTATAAACATTATTTTATTGTTTCAATAGTTTTTATTGTATTGTTCTTTGTGTTTTCTTGAATACAAGCAATATAAAACAAAAATAGATTAGAGTTAGTTTCAGACTATACTCACAATTGTTTAGAGTGAATTTTATATTTAGTTACATAAAAAGTAATAAGAATATTTTGAAATAAACTTACACTTGGTGAACCCATCTGAACATTCCATACTTAGTAAATCATTGTTTTAAAAGTTAAAATAGCTTCATACTGGATCCCAACTGTAGACCAAAACCAAAACTGTACATTGAAGAATTGTATACCCATCATGCTGGGCCTATTAACACATCAATTTGATTTTACATATATTTCTACTTACTGCTCATTTCTGAGGACCCTGCTAAATAGTAGGGTCACCAGAAGAATAAATTTTCATTTAAGCTTTGCTACATTTGACGCACACCCTCTCCTATGTTCATCACAGGTACCCATATGTTTCTGCAAATATTCCCTCAAGTGTTACTGTAAATATTCCCATAAATATTCCTCACATGTTTGCCACATGTTACTCCACTTGTCAATCTGGAAATTCTTCATCATCATCAACACCTGAGTTTAGGAGCAATTCTCCTGTCATGTTAATGGATAGTAAAGCAGTATTCCTTCATGTGGTGAAGTGTTCCTGCAGGTGCCATCTTCTTGTCTGTCTGCCTCTATCCCTCTTGCCATTCGGTCTAAAATTTAATGCCATCCATGGTAGACGTTGTTTGTCCATTCTTTTTGCGTGTTTTCTCCATTTACTTTGGTAATTTTTTATTTCTTCTTCTAAGTTTCCTGTCTTCAGTTCTTTCCTCATTGTTTCATTTCAAATTTTGTCCCTTCTTGTTACTCGCCCTCAGAAACTTCATCTGAGCTACTTCTATGCTTCTGGTTTCCTTTTTTCTCATTATCCACATTTCTGAACCATTTTTTAGCATTAGTTTTGATGTAATATTATGGATTCTCATCATTGCTTCTTTTCTCATGTATACATAATGTCTCTTTATTATTCCATTGTTTCTATTATATTTTTGTATTATTTCTTCTACATCTTTCTGGTTCAATTCAATTAAATTTCCTAGATATTTAAAAGGCCTTAACTTGTTCAATTATTGAATTTTCTATTACTATTTTGGCTCTAAGATGTTCTTTGCCATAGAAGGCTAGTGTTTTAGTTCTCTGGCTTGATATTTTCATTTGATATTCTTTGTATATTTTGCTTAATTCGAAGGCTGCTTTCTGTAGTGTGTCTTCTGAGTATGTGTTATTATAACTTGGTCGTCTGCAAATAATATTGCCACTAATTTCTGGTTGTTTGTTATCTTTATTCCCGCCAGAGTTTTCTGTTTCCATGTTTTTGTCATGTGATTGAAGTAAAAGTTAAAGAATAGTGGTGACAGTGTGCATCACTGTCTGAGATCTTTGTTGATCTTCATCTGTTGTGTTGTGCCTCAGTGATTTTTTATTACTATTTTGAAATCTTGTACAGGCTTTGTATATCTTTCATTAAATGTTCTGGTATTGTTTCTTCTTTCAGAATTTCCCATAATTTCTTCCTATTCACATTGTCTTTTTGTAGGCAATGAACAGTATTTATATTGGTAAGTTCTTGGAATGTTCTTTCCTTTTTTCTATAATCAGTTGGAGTCTGAATATTGCATCTATTGAACTTCTCCCCTTGCGAAATCTGTATTGTTCTTCCATGATTTTTTCTTCTTTGATTTTGGTTAATCTTTGTCTTATTAGCTTTGCAAATATTTTTGATGTCACTGGTATTTAAAATTAAAAATACTGGGAATTCAAAAATTTAATTTCATTGTTTTTTTTATTATGATGAATGATGGTACTTTTATAAAGGTTACAGTAGACTATAATTGTGTAATTCTTTTTCTGGGTGAAAGGGGAAGTTCTGTAAAGCTAAGATACCAAGGAAAGTGAAAACACCAAAAAATACAATAGAAAGGCCCCAAAGATTTTTCTGCAAAAATTGCAAGCTCTAATAAATATAATATTTTAAATCATTGTTTTAAAAGTGAAAATAGCTTTTCACTAGACCCTAATTTTCAGCATTTCTGACAATCCATTCTATGGAGTGACGGAATCATCTCCACCCTGGGTTCTGCTTATAATTAGAAAAGTTATAACTGTTCTCGCATAACTAACATTTACATACATAACTAACTGCTCTCAATACAAGAAACACATTGATGTATACTTGTAAAGTCTACAACATATTTAATTAGTGAAAATGTTTTCTTATTTATAATAATAAAATATTAATGGATACATTAAGTAAATCATTTATTTCAAAAAATAATGGTATTATTAATCAAAAGAAAGTTGTACACATTTTTAAAACAGATACTGCAAAATTGATTCACAGGAAAAACTATAAGGTAGAAAGTCTTTTATGTTAAGGTAGATACTTCTGACCTTAATAATGATGTGTCACTTTTCCAAACTTTTCTGATTTAATGAAAATTGACATTAATCTGGAAGAAATGATACCATTTTAACAAAGTTGTAAAGTGATTAGTAAAGAATGAATTTTCATGTAAATACATATTTTTACACTGCTACATAAAAGTGTAATAAAGACACCTAAAACAAAAGGAAGCACACCTACACACATGAAAGACACAGGAGAAGAAGGAAAGATACAAGCAATGAAATTCCTGAAATAACAGAAATAATAGACATAACAAAAAGGAAAATAAGGGAACAATTGAAGATGATGCAAATGAAAAGGAAGATGAGAACACTGAAGAACTAGGACAAATAAACAACTCACCAGCAAAAACCACAAAGCAAAACAAGAAGGAGATAAATAACAGAAACAGTATCTACCTTACCGGAATACAACAGCAACAATCAAATCAAACAGAAAATTCAGAAGCTAGAAAATATTTTAGAAACATATAACATTATATACAAAGCAGGCAAAGAGTTAAAGATGGGAATTAGATTCAAGTAGTTGTATGTGGTAACTTGTATAGTGACACAAAGACTGAGGACGTAATGCAATGTTTAGAGAAGAAAGGATTGAACGGAAGTAGAGCAAAGAGTTTAAAACACTTGATTATAACAAAGCCAACAAAGTTGGGATACCATTAGAAGAAGCAGAAAGAGTAGAAGAGGAAATGTTCTGGTCTAAGGGGACTCTAACACAGCCTTTTTGGAGCTGTCTCAGGAATGAAGGAGAGATCAGATTATAATGATAACAACATCAACAACAATAATAAAGAGCATGATGACAAAAAGAAAGATAAAATACCAGAAGTGACAATCATGGACCAATAGAGGAATTACACAAAAAGGAACAGCGAACACAACTAATGACAAGAAGACAGGAAAAACAAAAATTCAATACCTAAAACTAAAATCTGCTACATGCTACATAAGAAGATTGGCATACAAAGAAGGAAACATCAGAAAAGAAATCAAAGAAAGAATATTGACTTTCTAATTCTATCAGAAATAAAAAAGAAAAGCAATGGAACTAAACAAATCAGAATCACATTCTAATACATTGAAGAGTAAAGCAAGAAGTGAGAGCAACAGCAGGAATTGCAATAATGATACACAATAAATGGAAAACCAGTATTGAAGATTATAAGATTATTTCTTCTAGAATAACTCTCCTACTCTGCATCACAGAAAGGGAATTAAATGTCATAGGAGTTAATATACTAACAGATAGAGAAAGAAGAGGAATCCATACAATTTTATAGTGACTTTCAAGATACAGTAATCAAATGTCAAAAAAAAAAAAAAAAAAATATTGGTAACCAGATGATTAGCAAAATTAAAGGAGCAGAGGGTGAAACAACAATTAACGACAATGGAAAACTGCTGATTGATTTCATTTTTTAAACATAAACAAAAACATAAATTTACTTGGGAAGCAAGGGGAACTAAATAAATCCTTAAGTATAAAATAGTTAATGAAAGAAGTCTTCAATAAAGTAAGGAATTCAAAAGTTTTCAAAGGAATAGAACTACCTACTAAAAACATGACTTAAATTGTAACAGTAAGAAATTAAGAAGAGAATTCAGAAAACTAAATCGGCTCCAAAGTTGAAAACTATATTCATTAGAGGAAGAAAGTATTGGACATTTATATGAAAATTGACTTTCAGAGAAATTACAGATGGTGGAACTGTAGACATGTTCTGGACAATACTGAAAAAAGCAATATTACTCACAGCCAAGGAAGCTATCGGCAGAGCCGGAACTAGACAATTTTGGGCCCAGGGCAATGCTGAGACATAGCTCCCTCCCCATTCAAAAAAACAATTTAAAATGTCAAAGTTCTGTCAAAAAACTATGAGTTATTTTATTTATTTCAATAAATATATAAATAAATGTACAAGGTTTAAGCTACAAAAAGTTTTTAGAAATATATTTTAAATAATAGTTTCAAGTAAGAATATTTGGTGACCAAATAATACAATTTCCAAGGTGAGCTTAAAAACTAAAAAAATGTGTTTTGTTAGTGTTAAATACAGACCCTTGTTAAGTATGTGAAATCATAATGAATATGATTATCAGTAGAACCTACATTAATGTTCGCATAATTTGATCCATTTCATAGAGTTCCATCTTACAAGAAATTACTATAATTAAATATTTAAGGAAAACATTTAATTGAAAATTGGATAAAATATCAAACTATTGCACCATGACTTATAAAATTACGATTACAATTTCTCGAGTACTAATTTCTTCTCCGATTTCTTTGCTATTTTTTCTCATCATTGGGCCCCTCGCCTTGCAGGATCCCAGGCGACTGCCCAGTTTGCCCTTGTCTTGTGCCAGTATTGGCTATAGGTTTAAAAAGGTCAACAAAGGAGAAATGGGTAAGAACTTGGAACAATGAAATACAAGAAACCATAGCCAAAAAAAGAAAGAAAAACACGGAGCATTAAAAGAGAAGAAATTTCAGATAATGCTAGAAAGGAATATCACAGGCCCCCGGAGAAATGATTTCAAAATATTAAGAATGCTGAGATCGGACACAAGGGAAAAAATTAATTTGGACTTAATTCCAAAGTGAAGTTGTTAAGGCTTTGGAATAGTGACAGATTGCCAAGTAGGAGCAGAAATGATACCGATATTACTGAACAAAGTAGAGTCTCATTTGGGTGGCTTCCAGTCTCTGATAGTGTCTTTGTTTCAGGGTCTATGTTTTTGATTCATACATTAATATTGGCTGAGATGTTATGTTGTGTATTCTTAGTTTTGTCTCTGTTGTCATATCTCTTCCAAAGTTTTTCTTTATTATTTCATTTACCCAATTATATTTTTCTTCTTGGTCTTCTGAATTTTGTCCAATGATTTTTTCTAGATACATAAATTTTGCTACTAGTTCTATTATTTTTCCATCTATAGTAATTTTAATCCTCCTCATTTCTTTACCTTGGAATGCCATAGCTTTAGTTTTATTTGTAGGTGGTTGTAGTTTTATGTTGTAGTAAAGGTTATTTTATGAAGTTCATTTGCTGCTCTCTGTAAATCATTTTTTGATTCCATTGTTAGGATCATGATGTATACATAGAGAACCATTTAGACTATTTGTCTTTTGTTTAAATTTATACTGGTTTTCACTTTCTGTTTCCTCTTTTTGATCATGTGGTTTGCATAAATGTTAAACAGGCTTAGTGATAACCCACTATTTATTTTCATTACCTGTAAAGCATGCAGTCCTTTCATGCAGCCTTTGGAAGGTCTTTGTGGCTATGTTGGTATTTAAAGGGAAATTATGAAACAAAAGTTTTAATGGGCTTTTTCAGATTCTATAGCAAAACCTTTCTAATCTGTTCCCTGTGGGACTGAAAGTATTGTTAGAATGTTAAAAAGGTTGGATAATTAGAAGAAAACAAAATATTTATTATTTTAAAATTGACATACAAATAAAATTGTCAAAAATTCATAAACAAATAAAATGAAATACATAAACAGTTTTGTATTTGTGTATGTGTGTTTCTGTGGGTGTATGTATGTATGTATTTATTTATGTGTGTTTGTGTTTAAATGTTAGAGTGTTTGTGTTCTTGTGTTTGTGTTCGTGTGTGTGCATGAGTTTGAGGCACCAAAAGACTTTCTCAGCGGTAATCTGCATTTAAAAAAACTTTGGGAAATGGACAATGCTGTATTTCTGATTAAATATGAATATTTTCATAAAGATTTTGTAGGAAAGTATAAGTTTTAAGTCATCAGCATTGAAAGAATATTGAACTGAAAGAATGAATACACAGTACAAGAAGCCATGTGGAGAAAGAGTTTAAATTTCCATCTTGTTCTCCATAAAAAGGAAGTCATTGTGTTTTTAGCATCCTTCAAAATCAAGGAGGGAGAAATGACATTTTCAACTGTCAAAAAACATTGCATTTCCTAAAATACCAGGTCAGCTAGAGTACTTTAAGAGACAGCCCTATGTCTATAACTTCACCATCTGCCAAGGCTTGTTACATGATCCAGAGTCGTCTACAAATACTACAATTTGCTTGTAGTCAGAAATCAAGAAGGGTTCTAATGAGGAAGGGAAAAAGGGTTCTAATGAGATAGTGCCCCGATATCATGAAGAACTAATTAGCACTGTTTTTCCTCATCACACCTACTTTGTTAGGTTGTTTACTGACAGTCTCAGAGGACACTACAAAAGCACCAGAATACAGAATTTATATCAAAGAAGAAGCAGAAAAATGAATGAAGAAGAAGTAAGAGGAAGGAGAAGGAACAGGAGACAAAGAAGGAGGAGGGAATGAAGACTTTACATTACTTGTGAATCAGTGTTTATAATTGGGAGGAAGACCTCTGAAGTCTTCCAGATTTTCTGGAGTTTTCCAGATAAATTCACTCGTCACTACTCAGCTCAGGCTGTAGCATTGTAAATGGACCTCTCATAGATCTATAACACACACAAACAATAAATAATTATTTTGGAATTATTTTAATTGCAATTGAAAGGTAATTATTTATTGTATTTTAAAATTATAATGTATGCTCAAAGGGAATGATTTTTTTTGAGAACTTAAAAACATCTTGTCAGAGTGACAATTAGCCAAAACCAGAACTCAGTTATCTTACTCTGTGAGTTGAGATAATGATATATTAAATTATTAGGTATGAAATGAAGAGTTAAGTTACTACTACTAGTATTCTCACATTTCATACAGCAAAATTTTGAGGTAAGTCTTAAATAAGACCTTTCTTAAGAGCTTTTACTTCTAGTACACGTAATAGCTGACATTGGCAATTTTAACATTGCATATTATTTAGCACATTTCTTACTTAAAAACTCCCCTTAGCTTATTTCACTTATATATTTAACCCTGTCAAATGAAGTGAGAGGAGTAACAGGATTTCATTTGAACTTGGTCTTATACCAACTTTCTTTCTTTTTAATACTTAAGTGTCCCAGTCATCAAGCACAATTTCCCTTAATGTTTGAAGCATTTAATTATTCACAATATATAGGAAAATAAAATAAATTTGTTTTATCTATCATAACCTCTAGCCAATTCTTGTTTGATAAGATTTTTTTTTTTTTTGGTAAAATAATTTTCTTAGAGGATTCAGTTGTCTTCAATATCTATTAAAAAATAGAGACACAAATACCATTGTCCAATTTGTTTCTGTTTTATTATCTATTTGATTAGATTCTAATGTCAAGGAACAATTAAAAACTGTGTGCAGTACTATTGGGGGGGGGGGGGTTGATATACTATGGAGAAGAAATACTTTTGGAGTGAGTCTAAGAAAACTAAATTTGAAAATTATCAAGATCCTGAAAAGATTAAAGAATCCAGATATTTAATTATGTTATCTTAAAACTCATGTCTTTCAGAAAAATGTTTCAAAGGATTGTAGAATGATTCTAATCTAAAAAGTAAGGACGGAAACTTTGACTTATCACTTTATATCTTTTCATTTGTATGGAATTCAAGGCAGCTCAGCTTAAGCATTTATGACATTCATAAGCATCCAAATCATTTTCTTTTTTTAATTGAAGTTTTGATTACAAGCCAAAAAAGTCACATTCTATTTGTATTACTTTTTTATGACCACTTATGTGCCAAAATTAATGATCCAAGTTTTCAACCCCAGTAGAAAATCAAGTTTAAAATTTTTGATTCAGGTTTTTGCGTCGTTTGGAGCAGAGTTTGAAAAGACGTGAGCGCCTAGTGAGTCAATCTGACAGTTATGGAGATGATGATGATGGATGTGAAGGCTCTCCACCAGTGATGTCACCACTTCTTCCTCATCAGTCTGCTCTCCATGAAGAATTCAAGAACAGCTCATTAGGGCACCTTCGACATCAACCACATTTGGCACGTGCTCGTTCCTCAAGCAGACATCGTTTAGGGTCCAAACAAAAGCATACAGGTGAGTTCTTAATTCCTTATGAAGAACAAATGCAATGGAAAGCTGTTAAAGTGGCAGAAAACAATGGACAGGTTGAATAATGAAAGATTAGTAAGAGGTATGTAATAAATTGTCTGATTATCAGTCTATTTGACGCAGAATTTTAAAACAAGTGAAAAAAAAGAAAATAAACAGCATTTCATGTTCTTGAGAAACCAGAGTAATCTGCAATTACAATTTAAATTAAAGTTTGTTCTACTTGTGATGGCAAAGCAAAATTATATGTTTTAACACAATTTTTTTTTTGTTTTTCTTTTGTCTAAAAAGCAAGAAAATAATTTCATAGGTGATTGAAAATGAAAATAGTACATAATTTCTTTTTTCTGAATCACATACTGAATTGTAACTGCAAATTATTCTGAATAAAATGTTTTGAAAAAGACCAACAAGCAATTCAGGTCTTGTTAAATGAGCATTAGTATGATTTTGTTGTTTCCTGTTATTTTAGATGAATCCGGAAGTTCTGTCCATTTTTGTTCTTTAAATACAAAATCCTTTTATTTGAAGTACGTAAACATTAAAGAAGTATTATTGGTGAAACAGAAGAATTTATTATTCAAGATTTTTATGTTAAAATATGTAACATTTATAAGGTAGATTATTTTTCCTACAGTAAATGTTATATTAAAATTCAAAGTGAAATTATATATTCAATATGTAAAATGTTCTCTTCCAAAATTCTATGTCACTTTCAAATAAATTGTTTGATATTATTAACTGATATAAACCAAAGCAAAAAATCTTGAATAGTATCTAGGAGACACTGAAAAATAAATACGTGGTAAAATAAAAAGTTATGCCTATTTGTTCTATTGTATGTCGTTTTTATGGCTCTTAGATTTGTTGTTTAAGGCTTGAGAAGACATCCTGTGCTTTTGTGTCCTTTGAGGTTGCAGCCTTGTATTGCTCAAATTTGTGAAAAATGTAAAATTTTATTTTCATAAATATGTAAAATATCATGAAATTTCAACTTCAATTTCAATTTCCTTGAAGAAAATAGATTCATAGAGGATCAAAGCTTTTTGAATATTGTAAGTATTGCATTTTATCATTTGGGCCTTTGGATATTATTACTCTGTGATGCGTTCATAAACTTTCAATAAATTCCGTGATTTAAAATTGGTCAAAAAAAATTCAGAGCTTTCAATTAAATTATTTTCATATGTAAATTAAAGGTTCTCATTCCAGTTTCATTATTTCTTCTATTATAAAAATTTGGAAACATTACATCTTACTAAAATTGTTCGAATGTAGGAGGAGATGAAAATAAAACCATTAGTCTTTCATGCACATGTAGGAGACTGACATTTCCGTCATCCTCTCCCAAGTTTTAATTTCATCTTCATTAAAAATTTGGAAAATTGTTCACACACAAAAAACATAGTAACATCTACATTTGAACATTTTAAAAATGCAATATGAGTTACCTTCAGAAGAGTCTAGTAAGACATTTTGCTCAAAGCTTCAATCGTGGTCTCAATTTTGTACATGGAAAACATGCATTCTGAAAACTTTTAATATTTTTTTTAATCTTAATCATTTCATGGTCCAGTAATTACTAAATTAGCTCTATATTTTGTAATAAGAAAAGCAAGTATATTATTAAAATGATCACTACTTTGCAAAGTTTTATTGATGAGAAAATAGTAACAAGCTTAATAATGACATTTTGTTTTAATTATTACACCAGACATTGTTCAAATTTGGATGACATCTTATAATGATGCTCCAAGTAAAATATCTGAAGAAATGAGCATGATAACATACACTGTAAATGGTTCAAGTAAATTGCTAGTAAAGTAAACTGTTAACGAAAGTTAATAATATTTCAAGGTCTTAAAAATAAAATTTTTCAATTGAATGCATAAAAAATTTTAAAATCAGAAGAAATAATTTTTTAACATGTCCATTACCAAGTAGTGAATTCTCAAGTATTCACCATAGAGTGTAATAGAAAGTCGTAATAGGTGTGCCACTCTCTATTAGTTAGATTATTCAGTTTTGAAGAAATCATGACTTTAAAGAATGTGTAAGAAAAATAATTTCATGATATCAATAATATGAAGGGAAATTAATCTCCATTTAATAAGACCCACTATCCTTGTAGATATGAAGAAGGACAAAGAATGGTGTATTTCATTCAGTCATGCAACAAAAGATTGAATACATGCTGATAAATTTACCTTATTACTTTTTGTATTCCTGTACACATTCATAACTATATTAGTCATGTAATACGAGTAACTTTGTCACGTAGAATTATATCCATAACATGGATTTTGTGAGATTGGCCTGATATTTACTTAAGACAATATAATGACTGAACTGTAAATGAGCCATATGAGATTTCTCAGTTTTATGGAAATTTAATGTCCAATGGCCATCTCAAGTAACATAGTATATTCTCTGTTATATTTGCGATGACAATGGTATACTTTTCTTTTGAGTTTTAAATTCTTGCATCAAACTAATGTCATAAACTCACTCTAATGGTTGTCTCATAAACAAGGATGTTGTGAAGTTACTGTTTTACATTTTTTAACATTAATTTTTACATAGAAAGAGAATTATTGTGTTGTGAAATATTTCTACAACGTTGACGTAAACAGTATGGTACTGATTACAAATAATGCTGAAAATTGAGAGAAGATACGTGTAGTCACATCAGTAACCTAGCAGTTTGAAGCAAACTATTTACGAGTTGAAATGACAATGATATGTCAGTCTCAGAATGAACATTTTACATGGTTTCTTTTTTTCTTAGTATAAAAACAACTTATAAATATTGTTAATTAAAAGGCCTAATTCTAAATAATATGTTGTGACCTCTCATATAAAATATCTTCCTTTATCATAAAATGCTTGCAATACTTTTAAACAGAAATACATTATCCAATTTCTTAAATTTTTAATAATCACTACCCTACTGTCAATTAGTATTATGTATTTGATATGTGTATTGTTTGAGAAATTGTAGTTGAATATTTGCTAAGCACATTTTCATTCTATCATTAGAAATTTGTTAAGATTAAAATTCAATCAGTCAAACTATTTCAGACTTTTGCAGATAGATAACAGTAATTTCTGAGGAAAGGTCAACAGTCACGTTTAAGCATGATTATATGAATAATTAGAAAGTAATACGGGTAGTTAGAAATTGTTTTTATGTTGTGAAAGATTTACAGCTGCTTAAAGAGCCAATAAAGGAATCAAAAGAGGAAACGTTCAAAGCTTTCTTTGTCATCACTGCTAGAACAATCATAAGCAGGTGCTGAAAATATTTAAGGTCTGTGATAAAAACAAAGCACAACTATGTGTATTAAATACATAACCCTTTCATTATAATAGAATTCTGTACAGAAAGCAAAGTGTGAATGCTTGTTCATTTATTGTACAAAGTGTACTTCATAAAAATTATCTAATCATTATTATAAAGAACTTACTTTGAAATATTCAATATTGTCCATAAAGTGTAAATGTAGATTTTAATACCTCTTGATGGCATGACATGCTTGTTACATGCTTGTTAAATCTGACATGACATGTATCATTTTGTTGGTTAGATGAAATTGCAAGAATGGAATGGCTAACTAGAGGATTTTCCTTCTGAACAGCAATACTTCTGTGTGAATTAATAATTTTTTGTAATTGTTTTGTAAACTACTTGATGGTATATTTATGGTACCATAATTAAAAGATATTAAGACATTTCAGCACATCTTTTTCTGAAAGTATTTCATAAAATATCATACTACTGTTGTTATGCACATGACTAATATAATGTATACCATCATTTTTGAAACAAAATTTCTTTAATTCTTCTTTCCATTATTCTCATCATCATTACATTTATTGTTATTATGAAGATTATTCTTATTCATATTAGTACATAATTACAATTATTACATCTTTCTTTTTTGTATCATGTATTCTCTGAGGAAATAAGGCATCTAGCCTACAGTCATGCATTGTTTACGTATAATTTTAGTAAGAACATATATTACTCTGTTTCATCTTACCTGTTGAATTTATATACAATAAAATATATGTTATACTAATTTTCAATTTGTATTGCAAATTATTACTCTTCCCCACTTTTGTCAAAAAGTGCTTCTGCTCATCCATTTCCTCATCCTCGTCCACGTGCAGAGACTCGGGGCCTTGTAGAACTACTTTAGCCCCATACGTGCAACGGCCCCGAGTCTCTGCAAGTCTTCCTTGCACACCTAAACAGCATCCACTATGGAAATAGAACTACATAGCCAGTTCCCTTTCCTGGTCGTCTTGATCTCTAGACGCCCCGACGGTTCCCTCGGCCGTGGACCGAAAACCTACGCATACGATTACATGTGGATTCGCACCATTACCCTGCCACGAATCGGGGAGAACTCACCACCCTTACCGGGCCGCCCTCATCAGCGAAAGCAACAGCCTCAAAAGGGGGAAAGAGGCACTTAGAGATACTTTCCTGGCAACGGCTACAAGCAAGTCCGCAATACAACGGGCCTTGAGAATCCCCGACGTCCGAGATGGCGCACCAATACCCAACGCCACGATTGAGACAGTCAGCCCACTCCGAAAAACTGTTCGACTTCCCTGTGTACATCCAAGGTGTCACGGACAGGATCGGCAGGCTGCTTCGTAAAGTCGACATCCGCCCGGTGTTCTACTCCCAGAGAAAGATCGGGAGGAGCCTGGTCCAGGTAAAAGACAGCGTAGATCCACATGATAACGCTGGGGTATATGAGCTGCGGATAGTATACATCGGCCAAACGGGTCGCTCTGTAAATGAACGCATCCGTGAACACATGCGCCATGGCCGACTAAAGAACACCTCCAATTGACGTCGAAAGTCTTGGAGGCAAAATATACGTCCTCACTACTGTGGACGATGAAAGTCGGAATGTCTTTATCAAATTTCTCAAAACGAAAGGGAAAGTTATGGCGGAATTTAAACATGGATGATACAAGTAGAAAACAAATAGGCAAAAGTTTTAAACGAATACAAACCGACAACGGCCTTGAATTTTGTTCACGGAACTGGGACATCTTCTGCGAGAGTAATGGAATTGTGCACAAAAAACGATGACCAATACACCGCAACAAAATGGTGTAGCAGAAAG